TGCAGGAAACCTCCGTGGTGGAAAGGACTCATGCAAAGTAAGTGAAATGAGATGGAGTGTGTTAGCTATTGGAGCAAGGCACATGGGTGAGGATGGTCTTATAGGGTCATTGGCTTCTACAGTTTTCTACTGTACTTGTTTGTTTGTCTGTTTGCCTGTTTGTTGAGAAAGGGAGCCTCAGTATGTAGCTCTGGCTGTCCTGGAACTCACTACTTAGATGAGGCTGGACTGGAAGTCACAGAGACCTGCCTGCCTCTGCCTCCCTGATGCTAGGATTAAAGGCCTGCACCACCCATGCCCAGCCTTGCACTGTGCTTTTTGAACATTGGTAAGATCTAGGTGAATAAATTATCACTCTCAGCTCCAAAGAGTCAGTAAAAGTAAGAATCCACTGCTAGGAAAGGATTGTGAGTCAGCTACTACATTGACTTTATTTCATATGTTAAAAAACAAAACAAACAAAGAAACAAAACACTTAGAAGAAATGGTGGTGCATTTATCAGTTTTCATGCTACTATGTGTAGATCCAATCATGCTACATACAATTATGAAGAGTTCCTAGACAGCCTTAAGCCTTTCCCACTTCATCACAACCCAAAAATCTCACCTGACTTTGCTGTGGACATGTTTGAAATGCCAGCCATTCCCAAGCCTGGCCAGGGACCTGGGACTAGACCCTGCAGCTTCCTAACACTGAGCAGAGTAAACCGTTTTAGGCATAACCCTCTCACCTGAGAATGGATAAGCCTCCATCCCAGTGTCCCCAAAAATATGAGTGAAGGGCCTGATTAAAGACAAGAATTAAAAAGAATACTTTGCAAACTTTTATACCCTCAGTTGTAGCTTGTTAGTTCTTGCCTTTCCCCAAGACTCCGCAGAGTCTCCCGAGGTGAGGGCAATGGGTCTGTCTTCAGGGAAGAAGTCAGAGGAGCTGTGCCTTGTCTTCAGGACCAACACTAGCTAAATGCCAAGAAAAAATGGCATCTGTCCTTAACACCATTCTTCTTTTTACTTGACCCTCCTGACTCATTGCCTCCTGCATCCTCCACCTAAGGCACTCAGGAACCTGACTTTCTCTCTTAGGGAATCATAGACAACACCCTGGGCCACAGCAGCATTCCAGAATACCCCTCCCCTAGCAACAGGCCCTGTACCCACAGAGGTTCAGTGTTGTTTCCATGTTCTCTCAGTGCCCTAGGCTGGCTGCTGAGGAATCCAGCCTATGGGCTGAATTTGCACATTCCCAGGGAGGGGATGTACCTCAGCAAGGACGGCCACAGTTCTCATATGATCCATTACTTCATACCGATATAAAAGCAACTTTTCCCTGAAAGGGGGACTTCAGTTTTCTTTCTTTGGGGAAATAGTTATCTACAAGAGGAACCAGAAAACAAGGCACTTACTCTTTTCCTAAATATATCACCTGTGTTTGCCTGTTTCACTCCATGTTGAAAAGATGATCAGGAGATTGCTTTCTGGAAAAAGGCAACCGACCTTAAAAATCAGTGGCTGAAATACACAATATAGCATTCATTTCCGTTTTCATTAATCTATAAATATTAAACTATTGCTAAACATCTTGATGTTTTAAGCATTAATTTTCAGTGAATTTGGGGCTAAGCATCACACTAAATGCTACAGAACTTCTTCATATATTGATCTCACCTCATCCCACCCCTCTTCTTTCAACAGGGAGATTCTGGAAGCCCTCTGCTGTGTGATGGTGTTTTCCGTGGCATCACAGCTTTCGGCCTGGCTGGAAAGTGTGGAGATCCCCGGGGGCCTGGCATCTATACTTCTCTCTCAAAGAAGCATCTTAAGTGGATAATTGCAACCATGAAGGGAACAATTTAGATGTGTGAATTTCATTTTATCTGCACTAAATGTCACTTCTACATCTAATCACAAATAAAAATCAATTGAATGACCATACATGCTTCTCTCTTGCAATGTTTTTCGGCCGATCTCCATGAGTAAAACCAAGAGTCAGAAGGCAATGGCATAGATAATGCAGGAGGGAGATTAGAAAACCAGGGCCACAAATGTCCTCCATGTGTCCCATGACAGGAGAATTTCTCCCTGAACAATGCACTTTCACTCTCAGCAGATCTGTCTGACAGCAAGCATAAAGAAGGACTCGGGCATTCTGAACTGCTCTAGAGTGTAGGAGTGAACAGAAAAACCTAGCTCCCACTATTCTTATTTATATGCAAGAGCTGAGGGGACAGATACCAGAAATGACTCAAGGGTAGTTGCCCTAGGCTGGTGTGCATTGCCTCTTGGCCTTTGGACTAAGATGAAACATAACATCAAAGGCTGAGATAGAACAGAAATTCGAGGTCTAGGTGAGTGATATAAATGAAGTTTCTGGCCAGCCAAGAAAAGGATGTTACAGAAAGTCAGCCCGTTCCTTGGTAGTTTTCATTTTAGTCTTGGATTGTCTAGGTGATCTCTTGGTTCCCCTTGTCTGTGAGCCTGGGTTGATGTCACCAACATGGTAGTCACAGTGATTGTCATGCCTTCATAGGGATAAAGTAATAAACTGTGATCAAAACATTTTCTTGAAAAAAAAATGCCTCATGTTTGCTCAGCACTTTTAATTTAGTGGACAGCCATCATCCCAATGGCCATTTTGAGATGGGATCATGGGAGCAAATTCCTCCAATTTCCATTAGAAATGTTTATATGTGTATATATAATTATGCATTATGAATCCACACATACATAAATAATTCCTGTCCAATACAAAAACATGCACTAGAGTCAGCTCTTAAAGCCAATACAGAAGGACAATGCAAGCTGATTAACACTAGTCACAGGCTTTCAGGTACGGTTGCCCACCAGAATCACAGACTTATCCACAATCACCACTGCCCATGACATATCTCTAGAGGGTTAATTAATATTAGTGGAACCCAGAACATGGGATTCCTTATATTAGCACCCCAATACGGTTAATAACAGCCAAGGATCAAACTCCCTACTCTACAAAATGAAGTTTCTATTAGAGAAACTCTGGGCTGATATTTTTTGGCATGTCATAATCTTTAATATGAATTTAGGATTTTAATTATAATAAATAGACTATTGTCTACTGAATCCCATTTTTTGAAGCCAGAACATTTATTTTATGACTGATTGAAATCCTCAAGATGAGCTGGATGCCCACAAGTAGGGTGGTTATGTACCAGAAACTGACTCTCTCACAGTCTGAGGTTGAAGTGTGAAGTCTAGGGATGGGTGGGATGGCAAACCCTAAGATTCTCAGCCTTGCCACTTCCGGTTCTTGACAGCTGAAGCCATTCTTCGATTTGTGCCCACACTATCCAACCTGCCTCCGTGAGCACACTGACTCCTCTCTGTCTAGCCTCTGATTTCCTTACAAGTCACAGGACACTTGGCATTGATTAGGCCTGCTGGAATAAACCAGGACAACTGCCCCCAAGAACCTGAAACTCTTCACATCATGAAAAACCCTTTTAAAGAAGTGGGAAGTTAAATAACTCTTAGAACTAGGAAATTTTTAGCTGGAGAATAGCATACTTTCCCAGCATTTGCCAAATTCTGGTTCAATTCCCAAATACAAGGGGAAAGAAGAAAAGAAGGGAGGGAGAGAGGGAGGGAGAGAGGGAGGGAGGGAGGGAAGGAAGGAAGGAAGAAAAGAAAAGAGAAGAAATCTGTATACATAATCAACTCACAAATTTAATTTTAACAATTTTAAAAGGTCACCTTAAGATAAATCCACAAAGAAGCAAAGTAAAATGGTCCCTCCCTTTGGGCTGCATAGATGGTTCAGCAGTTAAATCCATGCACTATTCCTGTACCTCCAAGTACTCCCTGTTGGGTGGTTTACAACCACCTGTTACTCCAGCTCCAGGAGCACCCAATGCCTCTACCCCACCCCCAGGGCACATTCACTCACAAGTGCACACACTCACAGACACATAAGCATAATCAAAAATCAAGCTTTTTAAAAGTGATTTCCTTTTTGTAATTAAATAAAATAGTCTCATTCTCACACTTCTCCAAGCATTTTTGCAACTATCCTTCTTTGTTTCCTGGACAGAAAGTTCTTATAAAAAGAAATACTAAATAGCTGCAGTGTTTATTCATATAGAAAATTGTCAGTTAAAGAACTCTCTTGTCAAAAAGTTAAACACTCCCATTGATTTCTGCCACAAAGTTCCAGGCACAAGAGTCTTTAAATGTGCACTTCTAAATTAAAATAATGATTTTTAATCCACACTCAGGATAATGACTTCTTTATAGTCAATAGATACAATGAGCATTTTAAAACATCTTTTTACCCACTATGTGTTAAAAATGAAAAGGAAAGAAGAAAAAAGAATGGAATAGCAAAGATGGGGAAAAGCCCAGATATTTTCAAAAGCAAAGTTTGAAAGCTAGCTTGACTTAAATTGAATAGATACTTCTGGAAACATGACACTTGGCATGAAAGCAACAGTGTTCTTCAAGTCCTTTCCCAACACATCAGTGACAGTCTTAACTTACTAGGTAGAGGGAAATGACATCTTTACCTCAGACAAAGTTATTCTTTACAGGGGAGGTTGTGGCTTCAAATTCTAAGAATACTGTTGCTTGGAGTGCTGTAAGTTTTGTTTGCGGTGTCATCAATGACACTACATATTGATCTTTGCTATGGACCAAAAAAGCCATGTCTCACCTGCAAACTAGAAAGTTACCTACACCCTGTTGTCTTCTTAATGTAATAAACTAATTTTTGAGAATGTATACAGTGTGTTTTGATTACATTCACCCCTCCACTAACTCCTCTCAGATCCTCTCTCACCTTCCCAACTTTCTTTCATTTTTTAATATCCCCCTGAGTCCAATTTATGTTGCCTTTATACTCATGAGTGTGAGACCATCCACTGGACCTTGGTCACCACACCCTTACAAAACAAAAATGGACTCTTCCCCCACCCCCACGCCCCACCCCCACGAGCTATATCTGTCAATAGTGCTCCACTGGCTTGACCTCATGCAGACCACAGCTGCTGTAAGGCCACCAGCACAGTGGACCTGTCATGTCCAAAAAAATGGTTTCTCTCCAGAAACTGATTAAAGCACACATGCATTCAAGAAAGACGAACCTGGACACTTTTAAGTGATAAACAAGTGTGGTCAAACTTAAAAGTATTCATCTCTGTGTGCAGAGGTGGGGTGGTTGTAGGATTTTGCCCTCTATTGATGTTGAAATCAAAGGCCCAGTATTTCATCAGAGCTTTCCTGCTTTGTGACAGCACACTTTGCCATGGATAGGTATGTGGCATTTACTCACCATAGAAACCCCTCCTTCCCCCCACATGAGCAGCCTGGGGCAGGTCCACAAAGCCACATTGTTCTTGGGAGCATCTTGGCCTGTTGCAATCTCCTTTGTCTTAGGTATACAGATGAGAGAACAAACCTATGAGGACCACAAATTACCAAATGTTAGCAACTTCTGATGAATGGCAAATGAGCCTAAACTGATTCTAGACTCTGTGTTATGCTCTGTTCACTCTTCCTCCAGCCACAATGAGGACTGGGTATTTAGAAATTATATCCATCCCAAGTCATCCAAGGACCAAGAAAACAAATGGGCTCCAGTGCAATGAACCAGGGAATTTAAATCGTGACCACTGGCCAGGGATAGCCAGACTACTCCCAAGTTTCAGAGTCAAACTGTGATGAGAAGAAAAAGACAGAAGGAATAAATGGAGGGAGAGAGGGAAAGAAAGATGAAGGGAAGGGGAGAAGAAACACAGATTAGATAACTTTGGGTTCACCTATTGAGAGATTTTTCAATAAAACAAATTGATAGGAATTGGAGTTACTCTGGACTCAGAAGGTAAGGAAGGTGGGATCCTACATTCTATCATGAATTGTTTTCATAAGATTCTAGATGCGGGGTTATATGGTTTATATGGATTTGTTCTCCTATTGATTATTATATAAAACCTTTCTGTGTTTTAGCTTACTTTACATCATCCCCATTTTTTAATGTTTTTAACTTTTATTTATGTGCATGTGTGTTTGTATATTTGTGCACACATGTATGAGGGTACCTGGGGAGGCTGGAAGCTTGCCAATGAGTGTGTGCTCGGAGTCTGAACGCTCTTCCCTGTATTTACATCTAAAACACATAAATGTCCATCCTTCATTCCTCTTCCAAGGGCAAGGACCTCAGATTGACAGGGACACCACTCCATGGCCTATAAAGTTCCCAACAAGAACTCAGTTAGGGGGCTGGAGAGATGGCTCAGAGGTTAAGAGCCGTGGCTACTCTTGCAGAGGTCCTGAGTTCAATTCCCAGCAACCACATGGTGGCTCACAACCATCTGTAAAAAGATCTGATGCCCTCTTCTGGTGTGTATGCATGCAGGCAGAACACTATGCATAATAAATAAATAAAAATAAAAAAAGAGATCTTTAAAAAAAAGAAGAAGCAGGCAGGTGAGCCTGGAGAAAGCAGGGAAATGTACATGGAAGTCAGCAGCTGTAGCAGCTCTCCCAGCTGAGGGCAGATACATCCCTCAGAAATCATTCCCCAAGGATGAGAAGCCACTGCTGAAAGAGAAGATGCCCAGTAGAAGACTTCCCTAAATTATGCAAACAATTGTCAGTCAGTATTTTTTAACACACAAACAAACAAACAAAAATAAACTTACAAAACCATATAATGGGAAAACTGAATGCAACAACACCCATGGGGCAGAACTCTGTGGCTGGGGAAGGCCCTGGCTCTTCTGGGTTCGGTGCTGAAATGCAGCCTTGCTTTATGGCTTGAGTCCTTGTCCTCCAGATAACAGCAAGTTAAAGAAAGCTGCACATGACTCCCTGTAAATTCAGATCTCAGGTGTCTCAAATCCTAATACACTTCAGAAGATCAATTTATGTGCAAGTAACTCTAGTCAACTGAAAATCAAAATCAATATCTCCTATCTGCACTGATAACTGGAATGGCTAGTAACTTCAAAGAGTGTTTTAACAACTATTTCAGTTGCATTCCTCTCCAAATCTTGTCCATCATCCCAGGAACTAACCTCACTTTTGTGTATTATCCTCTGTGAATCAAAACATTTTACAGAGTAACAAACATTGGGTTTACGCAGATTTGTTCTCCTGTTGATTATTGTATAAAACCTTCTCGTGGTTTACTTTACATCATCCTCATTTTTTAATGTTTTTAACTTTTATTTATGTGCATGTGCATTTGTATGTTTGTGCACACACGTGTGCGGGTACCTGGGGAGGCTGGGACTGAAGTTACAGGAGTTGTGGGCTGTGCTGTGGGTCCCTTGCAGGAGCAGCAATTGCCCTTAACTTTGGCATCTCCCCAGGCTCTTAATTAGCATTTTCAATAATCTCTTTATATTCCATCAGGCTTTGCTGGCCTGGTGCTGGATTTACCTCTTTTGTTCTGTCTTGGTTCAGTTTGTATTGAGTTAGCTGACATTTTTAAAGAGACGTGGATTGTTTTCTTTGTTTTGTGTTTCATTTAGTGTTTGCTCTCATACAAAAAACAAAATGTATCTTTTGTTTCTGACAAAAATCTTCAGGAAAATTCCAAATTTCAAAACTGTGGACATAACAGCTTTCCAAACAATTATAAATTTTTGGTTTGGTTTGGTTTGGATTTTGGTTTTTCAAGACAGATTTCTCTGTACAGCCCTGGCTGTCCTGAAACTTGCTCTGTAGACCAGGCTGACCTCTAACTCAAGAGATCCACCTGCCTCAGCCTCCCAAGTGCTGGAAGGCATCACCATGGCCAGCTCAACCATAAGCTTTTAAAGTGCCACCACAAAAAAAGGCATGCTGATGTGTTCCTGAAATTATTTGAAATGTAACATGTTACTTTATATCTAGCAAAACATAATTGTGAAGTAACCATGTGTGATTTATTTTGTGTTTCTCCTTGTCAAGAATGAGCTATCCTGATGCTGTGTTCCTCTAATGCTTTTCTTATGAATTAATCATCTTTCAAGTAGCTACCCTTGCAGCTTTGGTTTTTGTTTGTTTGTTTGTTTTTTGTTTTTTGTTTTGATTTGTTTTGTTTTGTTGGTTTTTCGAGACAGGGTTTCTCTGTGTAGCTTTGGAGCCTATCCTGGCACTCACTCTGGAGACCAGGCTGAGCCACCAACACCCGGCTCACTTGCAGCTTTGTTACAAGTGTAAGTCCATTTTATTATTTTTAAGATGCATTTATTTTATTTTATATGCATGAGTGTTGTACCTGTATGTATGTATGTATGTATGTATGTATGTATGTATGTGTAATATAGGTGTGGTGTCTGGTGCCTGTGGGGTCAGAAAAAGGCACTGAATACTTGGGAAGGAGACTTACAGATGATTCTGAGACACTGTGTGGGTGCTTGAATATGAACCTCGGTCCTTTGTTAGAGTATCAAATGCTCTAAACCTCATGTGACCTCTAGAACTTTGCCTGCTCCCTCCATCATAAGGGGATCCAATCTCCCTCACTTTGTGTTTTGCCTGTGTGTGTATGTCTGTGCATGTGTGCGTGTGTGCATGGTGTTTGTGTGACCAAGGAACTGAACCTGGGGCATTGCCTATGCTAGACAAATATGCAGCCATGAAGCTATAGTCCTATCTCTCTTTTTACTTTTTGTTTTGAGACAGTGTCTCACTAAGTTGACCCTGTTGACCTTGAATCCACTCTATGGACCAGCTTTGAATGTTCCTGTCTCAGTCTCCCAAATGACTGGTATTACAGGTCTGTACCACCAGGCCTGGCTGTTTTTCTTTTTTTATCTGAGATGCCCAGCGATCTCTGACAAAAGCAAACCTAGTCAGCTACTGGATCTCTTCCCTTAACTGCTGACCTGAGGTATGACTTTCAGGGGTGGGCCCTGCACACTGGCACCTGATCGTGGAGCCAGATTGTCAGTAGTCCATCATTACACCCTCTGGGAGCAGCCTGCCATCGGGTGACCATTTCAGAGCACACACAATCTCCTTTTGGTCAAGTGTTCCAACATAATGCTGGGCCACCTGAACATCATGATGGTGGACACGGCCCAATCTGGACCCGCTGAATTAGAGGTAAAGAGGCAGGTTCATGTGTCAGAAAGAAAAAAATAAAAAGCCTCCCTATCTCACAAGCATGAGAAAACATAGAGGAAAGTACAGTTCATAATAAAACTGAGCCACACATTGGTGGCACACGCCTTTAATCCCAGCACTCCAGAGGCAGAGGCAGGTAGAGCTCTGTGAGTTCGAGGCCAGCCTGGAATACAAAGTGAATTCCAAGATATCCAGGAATGTTACACAGAGAAATCCTCTCTCAAAGTTAATTAATTAGTTAATCAATGAAACTGTGGAAAGATCCACTAAAATAGTTTCAAACACAGATAAAAATCCCTTGGGTTAGTAGGATGGAGTACTCTGCCCGTGTGAGTCTTTTCATAAGTAAGCTAGGTTCACCCGGCCATGGTGCCACATACAGCTCATTCAAGCACTGTGGAGGCAGGGACAGGCTGCTTTATCAGTTTAAGGCCAGTCAGGACTACATAGTGAGACCCTGTCTTTAAAAGAAGAAAAAAAAGTAAAATGGATTTGTCTGCCAAGATTTTAAATTTGAAATCAAAATAGATGCTCCTAACAGCTTTAATATTTTACTAGTAGTCATGAAAAAGACAAAATTAGACAATTACAAGATTCCCCCAGGAAACTTACATATAATATCTAGGAAATGATATTTCTCTTTTTTGAGGATATTTCATATTAGTTCAGCAGCATGGTTTTAGTAGATTCTTGTTGTAACACGTTAAGCAGGATTTTTTATTCCCCTTTTCTGACAGGCGTGTCTCTGGTAAGCTTCACTTGGATTCTTAGTGTTCTCGGTGTTACTAATACATAAAAAGGACTCAACACTAGCTGAATAGCTCAGAAAAATGCAGTGTGTTTCAGAGCCATGAAGCAGATCCTACATCTTCCCACAGACTGTGAACTCAGGGCTGGTCTGATGTTCTGTAAGGAGTCAGGAAATGAATTTTTATAACTGGGTGCAATTTCTCAACATCTAATATTATACTTTTTAAGTATTCAGGCACAACCCTAAATAACATCTTAACTGACAATATGGGCTCTGGGGCAGCCTAAATCATGACTCAGTCACTTGTTAATCACGTGACTTCCTTCTGGTGCCTCAGTGTGTTCATCTGAAAAGAACATTGAGATAAGAATCTACTAAACTGCTTCCTTCCCTTTTCGTCGACTCATCGCAGACCAGGTGAGCCATCCCCTGCTTTTACCCAATTCTTGCCCTAAGCGCCATTTAACCCAGATCCCTCCAGGCTTATCCCTGCTTGAAACAGACACGCCCAGGCAGGGAGGAGCTCCCTGAATCTGGGTACAGGCCACTCTTCATTCCATTCCAGGCGACCGATCCGCCAGGAGGCCTAACTCCTTCAGAGTGAGGAGGCTACGAGGAGAGGCAAGACCATCCAGAGCTTCGGACATTGAATTCCTGGCCCACATACACTACAGAGTAACAAGAGGAGATAGAGAGATCCTACCTGCACTCACTGGAAAAAGATATGGGAAGAAGACAGAATAAGAACTCGCTCAACAATAGAAAGACCAATATGACACCACCAGAATCTAGGGACTCCACTCCAGCAAGACCTGAAAAGCCCAACATAGTGTAAGAAGAAGAGATGGACCTCAAAAATTATCTCAGCAAGATGATAGAGACCTTCAAAGAGGAAACAAGAAAATCCCTTAAAGAAATAGAAGAAAAAGCAAGCAAAAAATTACACGATATGGAGGAAAAGACAAACCAAAAAATTCAAGAAATAAACAAATCTCTTAAAGAAGCTAAAGAAACCCAAGATAAAACAACCAAACAAGT